GTCGATTCAAATCTACTGATCCAAAGCCAACTGCAGACGAACAGCAATGAATGTTGACAAAATTCAGAGAGGATAGTGACATTTAGCCTTGTATTTCAGTCGCACCCAAAGTTAATAAGCCAAACGTCGCAGATCTCAAGGGCGCAGACGTAACTATCTTTGTTCATTTGTGAAGCGCACACACAAACATACCCGACCAGAATTAACAGACCGGAACGAATGAAGGTCGATTCTGATGGGTTAGGCATACATTCTCTCATCCAGCCTTCGACAGCGTTTGCATTCCGTATTAACTGAAAATAAATGCTAATCATGAAATAATTTTGTTTTTAAACTCGTTCTGAAGTGACAACTCACGTTCAACAAAAGTTCGGTACGTGATCTCTGTGGTAACTACTCATGTGAACGAACATGCCAAAATGGCCGTATGTGATAATGGACTTGCCTTAATGTAAAAATTATGAAAACATTATCACAAATCTCCGTCTCACACGTGAACAAAAAATACACCAATCCTACATAACACTACGTTATTTATAGCCAGTCTACATTTTACAGCTGCAGGAAACGATTCCATAGCCAACAACTGCGCCGAACAAGATATTAAATGCCTCAAACAAGGTCAGTTCCTCGTTTAGCGGTTGACGGAGATTGTTTAAACGACTCTAGAGACGAGTGTGGGAGTTCTAGAACAATCCTTCCAGTTTAATGAATTCTTCTCGTGCAACCAGCCGCGTAAGGTGAAACATCTAACGCAATCAGTTGCCGTCTACTGTAACCACTTGCATACGAGGTCGACATCAATAAAATCAAACGCAAGAAGATAAAATGCTTATGGATGCGTGTTAATGTGCGTGATATATGCCTAGAAGGGCACTGGGGGCAATTTGCACAACCATACAGCAGATCCAATTCCCAGAATATTTCCTCAGTTCCTTTCCGATGATTTTGTTTTCCAGTCTCATTTCTTAGAGCGTAAACAGATTACTCTGGCAGCCAATATACGACGTGATGCCGAGATAACAAACAGCGTAAACACATTACACATTCGCTCCTTAAGCATGTCCTCCATAAGCAAATGCGTAGCTTCACATCACATAATGCAGGATAAATAAAGCCTTTCTATGAAGCAGTTACCCGTCCCACTATTGCATGATGGCGGCCGAGTTCTGACTGCGCACAAAACGTCTCCTCTCAGGGGTTGGCAACGACCGCTTCCTTTCATATCCTTTCCTATTCATTGCCCACTATCACCCTTTCATCCGACGCAAATGAGTGAATAAACTGAGGGCGTCGTTAAATAAATTATAAGTAAAACATATAAAAACAAGTGGGAAGAAAAAATCACAAAAGGGCACAGAACCTGATGTCACAGGACCTGTCGATAACCACTAAAGAATCCATTCAAGAGGAAGTCTGTCATGAAATGTGCCCACTGGCCACTGCCCACTACACAAACCAAACCAAACATTCGTACATGATATCGGAGATACCCGAAATCTATATAAATGGGTTTGTCCTAGGCAATACTAGAAATCTTCTGTCGCTGTTAGTTCAGTTATGGTAGGTTACAATATGTATTCTAGTTTTGCCTCGGAAAAATGAAGTTTGGACGAAATTCTGCCCCTTCCGTGAACATACACAATATCGAGGGCTCATTACTGGCAATAAATTACAAAGCCACAAACGTATTTATTCCTTCCTTCCGTTTTTAGCTATTTCCAGAAACTCCTTTCTTTGTTTCTGTTGTTTTCCGCCCTCTCCCCCAATTTTACAGCTCTAACAAGCCACCTTGTTTACCTATATTTAGTGTGTGTGTGTCCCCCGCCCCACTACGGTTATCAAGAGCGAACGCCATCGGACTGACTGCTGACGGCACGTAACGCCAACATTGGTGAAATGAAGATGGCTGTCCTTTGGGTTGCAGCGCCGTGTAGTCAGGTCAAAGTTTACAGACTTTCAGAGGTACGTGCTGCTTTCCATCATCAGGGCGGGTCGTTCTGAAACGTCGGTTCACTCCTTCCAGACTACATTGCTCTACAAACCAGATCTTCATACTCGCCGCGACAAGAACCTCAAATCCCACTTGAAATGGCTTAGATTTCAATTTCTCACAAAACAATTAAATCTCATAATTGGGGCATTATTTTCATGACCCTGTAGTCATAGCCTTTTGTAGAAACTGCTATTAAAAATAAAATTCCAAATTCTGTCAACAACTGCTAAAAGAAACTACAGCACAGAAAACCTCAGAAAAAGTCTACTATAAAGTTGAACTAAACAATTAGGAATTCATAGTTTGAATAGCAAATGTGTTCTTCGTCTGAAAAATGAGACCGAATTCACCATTTGAGAAATACATCCAAAACCTCTGGAGAACTCAATTTAGATTTAATTAACTAAAACGTCTAAAATATATTCCTGTGATTATAATGTTTTCGTGGCGCAACAACTTCGGGGTTCATATTTCATAAATATATCCGTTAACCTTCAAGAGAGAACGCACAGATACTTGATATTCAATGGCTGGTCAAAATTTTCCACCCGTCAGACTGGTAACAGCAGATAAGGCACAAGGTCAGAGGCCATCATCTGTATATGGTTTCACGCTCTATCTTTCGTTCTGTTTGTTTCATACACGCAGAGACAAATACGCTTGTTCGATCGATTATGTAAAAGTGTCACGGAATTAGGCTTGCTTCAACAATAGCAACCTTTGCTCTGATTACAAACTTCTCCAAACATCACGATTACTACCACTTTCAGTAGAATGCTACTGTTTCTTGTACAATATAATATTTACGAACATATATCTAAAATAACGTCAAAAATATAAACACAGTTTCAGTTAACTTCTGCAATTCCCGTACGAAGTCTGCTAGAAAAATTGGAGATTCCACAACATCGATTTCACGGCCCCCCCCTTTTACGACAGAACAATAAATACCCATCGACACACAATAATTCATACATATTTTATAAAACTTATAAGACTCACTGTATTAAAGGAATCACACAGAAGGTATAAGTAATTTTTACAATGGGCTACACTACCACCATTTGCTCCAGAACTTCCCATCACATTTCCTAATCTGTAATTAATTGGTCATTATCATCATCTCCATGGTTTAGCCTATTATAGACTGTTCCATCTCCAAGGAATTTTCTGTTCAAGTAAATAGGCTACAGTACTCTGCAGTTAAAATTGGTCATTCCAACGTTTTTGTGGGCGGCGTTTGCCTTTAGGTTTGTATTTATACATTTTTTGTGGAATTCTATTGGCTTCCACAATTCCTAATCTATAATTAATTGGTGAGCCATTAAATATGGGAGTTAAACACTAGCGCTTATATCACAAGCTTAGCAAGAAACAGATAAATCAAAGAGGTTCACAAGGTCAGTATATCAGAAATTAAAAAAGACAATATCATAATGAAGTACACAGATGATTATAAATAGAAAAACTAAAAACATTACCAAAGAAAATGGCTAGAGTATGTGGAAAGAATGTCCTCTGAAAGCTTACCATGGCAGGCAAACTTTTATGTGCCAAAGATGTAACACAGGCAAACCAAGGAAAAGATGGGGGGGGGGGACAATTCCAGTAGCCTCTAAACAGGATTTTCTACCTAATCCTTGTTATGGAAGAAGAAATTGACAGGACACACCTAAAATAATAGGTATCCCTTTTACAGTACAATCTGAAAAATGAAACTTTGAAATGAAGAATAATTAACAGAATCTTAAATATCCTGAGAAAGATTGCTCAAAAGCCTGCTCTTCTAAGGTATCTGATAAACACTGATAGCAAACGCCACATATCACAGATAACCATCAAATGTCTAATGACTGCCCATTATCATCCTACAATATGACACTGAACAAGTAACACTCATCATATATTATGATGGCATGCCTAAGTTATAAAATGGAACTGAATAATACTTTTAATTATTGCAGACAGGCAGTACAAAATGCAGTTCAAATATTGATCAAAACAAAAAATTATCATAAACTCACCAGGATGTCAAAATAACCACCAACAACCAAAACATACTGTAGGAGACTGAAGAAATGAAATTCTAGAATGTGCGTCTACAATTTTTAACACAAATGTTGATTTGATGCTGGTAGATGCTTCTTTTAGCACCTACTCAAATAGTGTGGGAAGTACAGTGATTTTACTGGAGATTTTTTTTGAAATGCAGATCACATGGTAGGCTGTGATTTCCATGATACTTTTCCAACATCTTACAATCCAAATAAGGTGGTAATAAAGCCAAAATCATAGGAGTGAACCAATCAGTATGTATCAAAGTATATTTTGTTGTTATTCATTCCTTTGAATTGTAACATACTTTTCACTAACAGAACAGCAGCTTTATGAGTCATCCAGTCAAAGGTTGCTTAAAACATCCATATCTGAACATAAATGCTGCCTATATCCATGTTTAATCACATCTAACTTACTTAAAAGGGATAAAACACAGAATATCTATGATAAATAATGCCAAATAACAGCAAATTCAATGGTAAAGAATCTCAACAAAGGAAATACATTAATCAGTTATCACTAAGAAGTATTAAGGAACTTATTTCTACAATCCAGTTGAGCAACTGAATTTCAATCCATAAAGTTTCTGAATGTGCATGAAACTATCTGGCTAGCAACTGCAGCTATAGCACAAAGACTATCAAACATGTCAAATACCGCATATATTCAACAGATCTGCAGTCACTCTTTAAAAATAAATGCAAACACAAGTTACTATAAATCAGCTGGGTACATGTTCCAAGATTCCTGTTTTTAAAATTAGAACAGACATATGATTTAGGATAACGAATTGTGAAATCTTGGAAACCAATAATAATATAAGAAACAGGAAATACTTCTGCATCTCAATTTTTATATGAATTTTTAATTACAAATAGGTCAATTTTACTTTCTATTTCAACATGGCGGACTTGACCCTTTAACAAAAAGATTGTAATGTACTCACCTATCATAATTCAAACCCGGCATTGCGTCTAAAATATCTTCTTTACTGTCTTCAGAACAACAAAATGCCAATGTGGCACTAATACTCATAATTCTCACGATGTTGTAATTACTCTTGAAAGAGGTTTGCCTATCGCCTGAACATTAACACGTACTCTCCTTCCCACCAGGAATGATCAACAAACTGCTGGTGGCTGGTTAGAGCAGTCAACAGATTGAATCGTCACACGTGACGTATTTGGCTGTTATCCTTTGCAACAAGTAATTATCCTAGTGATGCACGAGTACATGAAAATGATACACAAAATCAACTATTTTAATCCATTCTTTATTATAATAGAGTCAAAATAATATAATTAATTCAGTATATAATAAGAATTACTCATTATTTTTATATACTTTCAAAGAACAAATAGAAATAATTTCAAGGATTTGAGAAAGGAAATTTCTCCAATGGAAATCATCCACCAAAGACGGAAGATAAAACTAGTCCAATTTTTAAATTCATACATTTGTTAATTAAATATATACAATGTATATCACGCTGTTATCACATATTCCAAAATACAAACAATGAGAATGTTTCTCTATATTATAAAATGTTAAAATTTATCTAATGACGTAACTGACCTACATAATACGGACTGTAGCCGGGAAAATACAAATGGCACTCAACAGCAACGAAACTACAGTGTTTTTATCCTTTTGTCATTAAAGGCTTTGAAATTCCATGCACTTATATTTGTGTGCCTGTCAAGCATATTGAAGTGCCATTTTAAAACCTTTCCTTTTACTAAAAAGTGCAAGGACTGAACATTATTCTAATAATTAAATATTGTTTCTTAATCTGACGGTTCAATACATCTAATATCAAAATTCAATACTTGACACAAATTATAATCACTCCCATCTACCTCTAGCCCTCAATATTTTCTTAAGATCCAACTTCACAACTGCAATTCTTCTTAATTGAATAAACTATTATGTAATACGACTTAGTTACTTTATTACCTTGTAAATATTCGGGATATAAATCTCCTCTGTATACTTGATAGGACACCATTCAAATGGTTGCTGTCACTGAAGGGTTGACTGGCAGGGTTAGAACATGCCTTTTGACCATAGTGTAGCTCCATTGAAAGAATGTCAGCACATAAGCAGTAGTCAATATTAGGCTCTAATAAAGGTCCTTAGCCTAAATCACGAAAGCCTTTGCATCCCTTAAAAACATTGATCACCATTAAACAACTTGCAGAAAGTAAAACTTGCAAATTGTTTACCCTTTTCAACAGTGTAATATACCATTCCATGAAACAGGATCAAAATTCTTCACAAAAACTTAATACTTTAAGCATATGAAATCTGTGATTTGTGGCGTTTGCAGCAGAAAATATGGTGATTGCAATTGTCTTTGTCAAGGCACTGTTTGATACTGCAAGTGTGGTTACCAATGATGATGATAGCATCTGAGATGGATGGAGTTGGCTCAGGATTGTGTCCTGTGGTGGGCTTTGGTGTTGTCAGTGTTCAACCAGTGGGTTCTGCTACCGGGGAGTTCATCTGAGAATCACGTGTAATGTCAAAACTCACATTTGTGTCTGTAATAAATTAAAATGAAGGCCTACAAGGCATCAGTATTCAAAAATACAATTTAATTTCTCCATTTCCATTTAAGTATAAGAAAAAATCCCTAAATTTCAGTACAAAAGATGCACCATCCTCTTTTTCACTGTTGTGGTCCATGGCAGACAGTGAAAACACCAAGAGTTTCCACGTAACAAGTCCAGTTGTGTGTCAATTAACTGATTTAAACTCGAGCATTTGCTAGTAATATATTTTCCCTTCAATGCATTACATCACAGATAATGCCAGTGTAGCACCCAAACAGCCAACAGTAGTTTTAATGTTAATTCTGCAAGATATGTGTAAAAACATGTACAATGTGTGCACGCAACCAGAGCAGAACAAATGTATCAATCAAACACACTCTTTATAAACAGGCCAGGGCTTGACTTGTTTGGATGCCTTAAATTTTTCATTGTAAGTAAGAAAACTGATTTAAGTCAGTCACTTCCCTCTAAAAACATAAACAAATCAAACCCTGAGAAAGAGGATATTAGCCCTCACGTTCAAGACACATCAGTAGCACTTTGGTGACTGGGTGAAGGGAGCTGATAATATTTCCTTTATCGTGGTAAAGCACAAGGTGGCTGTAATCTGTGTCGCCGTGTTGCGTAGTGTGGCGGAAGTTTACTAATGTGTCAGGGGTGCTAGCTGTCGTCATCAGAGTGAAGACCGATCGTTGCCCTTAGGCTCAGACAGAGGCAACAAGCATCCCTAAAACATTTGTAAACTTCTACCTGACTACATGACACAACAACCTAGAAGGCAACCATATTCATTCTTGCCACCATGAGATACTGAAATCTCACAACTTTCAAGACAATGCACAAGAAGAGACAATGGGCATACCTGGCTTTTATAATTATTTTCATTTGTTTCAACACATGGTCTTTGGGAGATAAAATGTGTCTTGTTTTAAACTTAACCATGATTAACAGTATTACCACATTTTAAAAATTCATTAAAACAAGATATTTAGTTTTATCGAAAGTGATGGTTACGCTTACATAAAAGTTGGTATTATAGAACAAGTTTTGGCTATTTGACAACCATGACAACTTGCATCTAAGCAGTGATATTAAATTACACTGTCTCAAAAACATAAATTATAATCATTAACAGGCCACATTTCCTTTCATTAAGGAGACAGCCATTTCATACAAAAAGTAACATGCAATAAAGGCTGGGTCCTTCGATCACTGAATTAAACCATGTTTTTTTGTTACATATAACAAATCATCATTTATATTGGACTAATTTAAATAATTTAAAGTATCATTCCTAAGGGTAAAATGTTAACTCCTGGCATTTTTAAGTGAATCAATGCTTGGCATTTCAACTCTATATAAATAGAAAATTGAAAAAAGTAAGGCTAGCTGAGAAATACCAGACTCAATGGTATAGCAATTTGGACTTTCACTCGCCCAATATGAACTAATTATTAGTACAGAAGAGGTTAAAACTTTTGTTAACACAGCACTGACAGTACACAGAATCATCAATAAATCAATTAACTAAGAAACACACAATTATAATTGGTAATAACAACCACCGCATTAAAAAAATCTACAAACTGTAGACAGACATTAGCATTTATCTGTTAAATTTTATTGTCTATGAGACACAGCTTATTTGTAGTCCAGCTGGCCATGCATCACACTAACACTAAACCATTAAACTGGGAGCCAAACTATGATCTCAACTCGCTTATGACAAAGTTAGAAAGGTTGGTGGAACTTCTGCCTTCATGATCTATTATAAGCATAATGTTTCTTTTTATACTGGTATTCATGCTATGATTTTAGTTTGGTTTTACATTATATTCAGTAAATGTGATGTTATGCCAAGAAAATGTAACTCCTTAAACACAAACTGCAAGAAGCAGCCATTTTTGTTAAATTATTATTATCATCATCATTACTATTGTTATGATTATAATTTATAATAATTGTTAATATGAAGTACAGGGACAGTAATAATACTCCAGGCTAATAACATCAATATTACAGAAATATTACAAATAATAAAATGGTCCTTTCAAAACTCTTTATGAGTCAATAACAAGTGGATTTCCAACATAATTATGTGCAGTAAACAATATTACATGAAACAATTTTCTTTTTCTACGTCTGTTAGTCTATTACGTATTTTCCTGTGTTTACAACATTAAAGCCTGGCAGAAATAAAAACTACAGTGTAACAGTATATAGTTTAGATGCGTCATGTTTGTGTTTAAAATTCAAATATATATTTATTATTCAAGTCTATACACAAACTTTTAAATTGTTGATGTTAAAATTTAAAATTAATATTAATATTCTGCGCCATTCATCGTTATCTCGATGTTACAAAAGTATAAGGTATAAAGTATAAAGCGCAATATTGTAACATCGAGATAACGATGAATGGCGCAGAATATTAATATTAACTTTAAATTTTAACATCAACAATTTAAAAGTTTGTGTATAGACTTGAATAATAAATATATATATGTAACAGTATATGTATATGTGTATAGAAACAAAACATTAGATCGTCTCTTTTGTTTGTTTCTCAGTTTACTTGAAGATGTTTTTAGTACCTAAAATTATATAGTCTGAATGATGAATGAATAATGAATTGGAAAGGATAAGGAAGTAAGCAACTGTGACCTATTTCAATGTACTATCCCAGAATTTTCCCACAGAACTGAGGAAATAGTCTCAGGGCTAAAATTTGAACCTGAGATCTCCTGAATACAAAGCAGAAGCACGTTAACTATCTGATCTGTCATCATCTGCCAGTATTCTTCACGTTCATATAAGATTTTGCAAAATTTCGTAAAAATTGCTTACTGAAAAAAGGACTAACATATAATACGTACCTCATTAAAATGGGTATACTGACTTGAAACATTTTTTGATTTGATGTAAAGTAAAACGACAAGACCAAATTAATTTGTTCCCATAAAGTAGGAACTCTAAAAGAAACTACCTAGAATGAAATTTTCCACACAACTTTAAGTGTAAACATGTAATTGACAAACATTCCTAATGGCACAAGGCAACTAAATTTGGTACAAAGACACTCTGTTCTAGTCTGGATAGCAGCGAGCCACAACTAAAACTGGAGGAATATGAAATAACTGTATAACTTTCTAAGACAACAGTGGCATATCATCATCATCATCATCAGCATAATTATCATCATGAAAGTACTGTGGTGCAAGTGTCGGGAGAATTTAAAAAACAGTGCACTGCAGCACGACGACTTCTAACCTACAATTCGCCACTAAGTCTCAACTGAAAATATATTACATTTAGGAGATCTATCACTTTTGTGACTGTGAAATGAGGTAATGCAACAAAGGGATATGACTAAAGACAGCAGAGATAAAATTCCCGAAGTGCAAAATAAAATATGGTTTATTATATCAGAGGAAAAAAATTAAGGTATTTTATAAGAACTCAACAAGGATCCAATCAAGATAGCAGAACAATATACATAAAACTGATTAGGTAAGAAAGATTAGACACCAAACCAGCATGATTACCAACCCATCAGATGATGAAGACCTGGACATTAAAAAGATTACTACTACACAG